TTTTATACACCTAAGTACAATTTTCTTTATATCACACAAACTAAACACCTAAATTCCACAAAATTTATATATATATATATATATATATATATATATATATAGCTTTTTAACTCAATTATCTATCTTTTTTAAAAGGTTTGAGCCAAAAATTCGTTCAAAAACTTAAGATATGGCTCCAATCATTACTATGAATAAAATCACTTATTTACTCCCTTTGATTTAGATGTGCTCACTTCAACTCTCTATAACTTCTTTATCTAAACTTCAAATTCATCAAATAGTGTATAAAAAGTATAATTGAAAAAGTTTTCTTTTCAATCCTACTTGTTAATCCTTTGTTATACTCTATAAGTATATGTTATGCCCCAAAGAGTGACAATAGGTATGGAATTGATACCCTAACTTTGAGTATCAATAAATCCTTCATAAAAACTTCAAATCACACAAAATTTGTATCCAATCCATATCCAAAAACCTAATCTTGCTGATTCTAGCTTTCAAAGCTCAAATGATCTCAAAAGAGAAACTCTAATCTCTAATAAGGCCTCGAGCATCCTCCTTGAAGTCCATTGGGCATGGCCTTTGATCAATAGGGATGAAGATTCCCATTCCTTATCTTCATCCGACCATGCCTTCCTTTCATCCCTTCCAATAAGCCTCCTACTAGTTTAGATTTTCATCTTTAGGCTCTAATATCCTCTGAAGGCTTCATACTAAATATTTAGGTTATATAATTTTTTAAATGCCATAATCAAAATAGATAAACTCAAAATAAAGTTTCTTATATCGAATCTCTTTAAATTAATCTATAAACCATTCTAATACACACCAAGACTTATGAACATATTATATATTCTAATTAATTTTTACATACTATAAATAAGTACAATACAATAAAGGTACTATAATTTATTAATATTATCAACATCTCTTTAATACATATATTTTAAAGTAGAGGATATGCAAATTGATGCAGTACATTTCAAACCTCTTATTGAGTAAGAAAAGACTCGTTGTCATCAAGAAGGATTGTGCTTCTATTATAGAGAACCTAAACACATTGCTCAAAATTATCTATAGAAGTAATACAATCACAAATTGAGAATTATAATTGTCAAATAAGATAGTATGTCAAAAACGAATTTTTCTAGCTACAATAGAGACCATGTACCTAGAACCTTGTATAATACCTAGTAAAGGTCCTATTCTCTTCTTAGAATCCTCTCATTTTTTTTATAATAGATATTATTTTAGAACCCAAATATCACCAAGCCTCTGCCTTATTAGATTGAAGAGTCTTAGTGTGTTTTTTAAATAAAAAATTTGGTAAAAGACATAACATACTTTTAGTGAAGAAAACTAAACCTATTCATAAAGAAGACATAGATGGTTGTCTATTATCTTCAAGAGATATTACTCATATATATATATATATATATATATATATATATATTTATAAAAATAATGATTAATAGTCATAATAGCTTTATAATATTTAATATCATTAGATCTTCCTTTAATTCAATTATTTTAGGTTTATCATGGCTAAAAAAATATAATTCTAAAATAAATTGGATTTCTTGTAATCTTGACTTTTTTGAAAGTATAAATTAGAGTATAGTTAATCAAGTAGAAAGTCATAAGTCTAGTGCAATTGAATTTATATTTGTAGATGTAAGAGCTTTCTTGCATGTTGCAAAAGAAGATTTACCTTATGTCATTTATGTTACACCTATGTCTAATGGTCGAAAGACTTCAAGTAGTATTTTAAGCCAATATCAAGATTTTTAAGATGAATTTAAAAAAAAAATGTATTTACTCTTTCAAAACATTGTCTTCATGACTATTCAATTGACCTTCAAGAAAGAGCTCAATTGTTTTTTAGATCAATCTATAGTTTATTTCGAAACAAGTTGCTTAAACTCAAGGAATATATTGAAGAAAATTTGGCCAAGAACTTCATATATCATTCCAAATCTCTAGCAAGAGCTCTAATTTTATTTGTAAAGAAAAAAAAATAGATTGTTATAAATGTGTTTTCATTATTGAGAACTCAATAAAATCACCAACAAGAATAAGTACCTTTTATTTTTATTATCTAGACTTCTTAATAAATTGAATCAAGTTAAGATCTATAAAAAAAATAGATCTACAAGGAGCATACAATCTAGTATGCATCAAAGAAGAAGATGAATGGAAGATTGCATTTTGAACATGATATGGATATTTTAAATACAACATCATATCTTTTGGACTTATAAATATACCAACAGCTTTTCAACATCTAATGAATGATATCTTCCAAGAATTTTTAGATGACTTTATTGTCTGTTACCTAAACATCTTAATTTATTTTAAGAATATAAAAAAATATAAATTTTATATTCATTGTATGTTACAAAAACTAAAAGATATGGAACTCTATGCTAAGATAAAAAAAAGTTTATATTTCATACTATTCAAGTTGATTTCTTAGAATATATTATTTCAAATGATGGACTTATGATAGATTCTAAAAAATTTTAAACTATTATGGATTGAAAGATCTCAAAAACGATAAAAGATGTTTAATATTTTTTAAAATTTGTCAACTATTATTGGATCTTTATCAAAGACTTCTTTTAAATTACAGTTGTATTTATAAATTTGACTTGTAAATTCAAAGTCAAATGGAATTAAAAAATAAAAGAAATATTTGAAGCTTTGAAAACAACTTTTATTTTTACACTAATTTTATATTGTGTCAATTTTTTTAAGCTATTTTTTTGGAAAAAAATGCATCAAACTTTGCTTTAGAGGCCGTATTATCACAAATGAGAATAGATAATAAACTTCATCTAAAAGCTTTTTATTTAAGAAAATTTTTAGTAATCAAAATCAACTACAAGATTCACAACAAAGAACTTCTTGCAATGTGGATTCGTTTCAAGAATGGTGCCATTATCTAAAAAGTACTTTTGATTTAGTCATTGTATATATAGACTATAAGAATCTTAAATATTTCATATAAATATATATTTTGAATTGTTACCAAGCATATTAGAATATATTTTTGTCAAGATTTGATTTCAAAATTACTCATCAACCTAAAAAACAACAAGGTTTATTAAACATCTTTTATAGATGTTTTTATCTTGTATCAAAAGAAAGTGATGCATCTTTTAATCAACAAAGAATAATTCTCTATTTTAAAAAATATCTATATATTTAAAAAAAAAACATATTAATATATTTTTTTAAGCACATCATAACTTTCTAATGACCATATATTTTGGATACAATAAGACTTTGGAGCTTATATCCAGAGATTTTTTAGTGGCCACAAATGTGGAAAGTAAAAAAAGACTTTGTGCAATCATTTGACGTTTGTTTAAGGTCAAAATCTCTCCATCATTTTGACCTTAGACAATATGGACTTCTCCAACCATTTTTCATACCTATGGACTTTTCCAACCATTGTTCATACCTAAACAACCATGGTTTTCTATCTCTATGGATTTTATCTCAGATCTTTTATTCTAAAGTTTGTATGATTCTATATTCTTAATAGTAGATCATTTTACCAAGATGGTATATTTTGTATTATATATAAAATCTACCATAGGTAAAAAAAATAAAAAAATAAAAAATAGTTAAGTTTTTTCTTAAAAATATCTATTGCTATCATGGATTATCTAAAGATATTATATATAATAGGGAGATTGTCACGGACATACGCATGTAAGTTAGTAATTACCTGTATAAATAGATAGAAGTAAGTAGAAGTAGGTAAAATCAAGTTAATTCTATAATATCTTCTATGGAAGCTTCTTAAAAGCTTTATAGATGCTGCTTTGACTTTATAGGTGTCTATAATTGACTTTTTGGATTAGAAACATGGTCAACAAGTTGGCCATGTATATTTAATTAAAAAATATTGAATCAATAATTAATGTTGATTTCAATGCTTGAAGATGAAATTGATTTGGCTTCAAAAGAATTATTTGTTATTTATTAAAATTTACATTTTTTTCTTTTAATGCAATAAATTTTTTTTTGCCATCAATCTTCTAGACTTTTTCAACTACTACTTATATTTAAACAACTATTGTCATTGTTTCTATGGATTTTATCACGGCTCTTCTAATTCTAAGTTCTTATGATTTTATATTTGTAATTATAAATTATTTCAATAAGATGGTTCATTTTGCATTATATATTAAAATTATTACAAATGAAGAAAAAACTAATTTTTTTGATAATATCTATTTATATCATAAATTGCTAAAAGATATAATATTAAATAAAGAAATTTAATATGTATAAAGTTTTTTAAGAAATCATTTCATAATAATAAAAGTAGACATTTAATTAACTTTGTTTTCCTATCTTTATAGTAATAGAAAAAAAAAAAAGTTTTAGAGCAATAATAAGTTTTAAGATGTATCATCAATTACCATAAAAATAGTTGAATAGTTTTTAGAAATTTTAGAAATTTTAAAAAATTATAAAATATATCTTCTACTTATTAATCATCTTTCTATATTGTGAGTCACCAAATCGATTCACTTATGTATTTAGTACAAAAACTACAATTATTATGCTTAAAAACACAATATATGGTGAGTAATACAAGAATTCTTGAACAAATAGAGATTAGAATGATAGTTGTAGAAATATGTTTCATGGTCTTTGATTGTTGTGATTAAAGTAGAAAGTTAAGGTGGAATCCTTGATCCGAAACAACCCAAAAAGAAAAAAATAAAAAGAAAACACCTTGATAGTTTCAGACAAATAAAATAGAAGAAAAAACAAATAGAAAAGAAAAGAAAAAGGTTGAGAGTAGGGAGAGAAAAAAAAAAAAGAAAAAATAAGGGGTAGGAAGATAGAAAAAATAGAAAAGAAGAGTAGGAATAAGAAGAAAAAAGAGAAGAAGAAGAAGAAGGAAAAAGAGAAGAAGAAAAGATGAGGGAAAAGGCAAGAGGCTCTCCCTGAACCTCGGGGGCTTCATTGCCGACAAAGGTCCGGGCCGCCCCCGGACCCCTTCTCTCTCTTTCTTCATTTTTTTGTGGTATTTTGTGTGTAAATTCCGACTCCAACTGGAACAAAGTTTTTTTCTCCGAGTTTTTCTCACGTGCATGTGTGGTTGCGGGTAGTTTTTGACTCGGTCGAGGTTTTGCGCTGCAGAATCCTGGTTTTTTGATGATCAATATGAGCTCCTCCAAAACGTGGGTGTTAGATTGTTGCAGTTCTAGTCCGATAGAACTTTGGTGGGTTTTTCATTGTGTCTAGAATATGGTCTTTTGGTGGTGGCGGCTGTGTTAAAGTCATTCCATCGGGATTATTGGCTATACGGAGGTGCAGTCCAGTTTTCTTGTGTTCTTCGTCCCGTTGAGGTGCTATGGAGCAATATCTTTTTGTTCTGTGATCAGCGAAGACGCCAGTGATTTGGCTGCGGCAATTTTTTCTTGCATCGTGGAGTTCTTGGGTTGCTCTCACGTGGCGTTTCTGGTTGTTGTTGTTTATTTATTTATTTATTTATTTTTAATTCAAGCATTAGCGATTGTGCGGTCAAGGCGACCCTTCTGTTTTTTTTTTTTTTTTTTTTTTTTTTTCTCGCTCTTATTCTCTGAATTCTAAAAGAGGCATTGGCACTGGAGAATAAAAAGTGCTAGCTGGGTTGCTATTGGTATTTTACACTGATTCTTCTTTGTTTTTGTTACGAAAGGCGTCTCCGACTTCTTAGGCGGCGTTGTCGATGGACTCTCTATGTGGCGGCGTTGGAAAGGCCAAATTTGAGTTCTGTAACTTGGCTATCGGGAATCAAAACTGATCGATCTAGCGACAACGGCAGTAGAGCGGAGTCGGGGAAGGCAGAAGTCAGATTCATGGTTGTTGTTTAAGGTGCCTCTGCAAAGAAGCTTGGTGTATTCATGAAGTGGGGATCCAATTGGACCAACTTGTAGTCTTCTGAGCAGTAGCGCTAATCTTTGATAGCTTATTGTTAGATGTGGAAGTGCAATAGAGATGCTGATTCAAACGCCAAACTCTTATGCAATTGTTTAGACTTGAGCTGCGCGTTTTGGTAATTGACGCTCGTAGTTGGAGTTTGTTGAGTTGGATATCTCGTATAGTAGTTGATCTAGTAGGGTTGCGGTGGTGGTCACCAAGAACCTCATGTTGTGAAGCAAAGATCACTCAAATTGTTCTTTTTTAAGAGGTAAATTGGTTAGAATTGCGTCCTTGAGGATACGCTACATTGATTCGTGAAGAAGAATCTGCGGATTACTAGTTGTGCCAATAATTCATTGCAATTTGTTTTTAATCTTAGATAGGTGGAAAAGAAGGAATGTAAAGTAGTTATTGACTTGGAATCCTACTTGGTGTACTGGAGTAAGTTATCACATTGCATTAAGATATTTTTCAGTCTGCATTTGTGTCACGTTACTGCAGAATCGCTCATCCTTCCTTATAGTTTCAAAGCTACTCCACTTGCAGCTAAATTTTTCAATTAGATCTACTAGTTGTATCAATCTTAACTTGCATTGGCAAGTGTGATTTTGTTGCATTCATACGGAGGTGCTGTATAGTATTTTGAGGATCTCCGTACCTTCATTTTTGGTCCACTCAAGAAAATGAAGTTCTGGATACTTTTTGGTTTACTCTATCAAAGATGCACTTAGTTTGCTTGATTTTTATATGAAGTTTGGTTCAAACCTCTACAGAATTTGATTCCATGACTTATAGCTAGAGTCTAGAGACATAGATCTCGTCTATTGACAACACTTCAAAATTTTTGGCAACGACACTCACTTGACTGTGTTGAAGTTCGAAAGCGGAGTGCAAGAAGCTCCAGCAAGGATCAATGGTCGTTGGCGGAGGAGCTCGTTGCAGGAGCTAGTCACACCATACACCTTCTCAGTAATAACTCAAGCATAGGCGGATGAAATAGGATCTAATAAATCTAGTTGAAGTGGATAAATAGTTGAATTAGGGTTAGGATTGAATCAGGTTAGTTGGATGAAGAATTGAATTTATATTAATAATTTAAATTTATGAAAATTATTTAGATGAAATTTCATACTTGAATGAAGTATTATACTTGGATGAAAACTTATTTAAGGATGAATTTTTGGTTGATGGATGAATTTTAATTAACAAACAAATAAAAATAAAAATATAATAAAAATATAAAAAAAATAATTAAATAGTCAATTAAATTTTTAATGCATGGATTTTAAAATAACTTACTATTGTAAATGTGAGTTGTGGTGAAGTTTTTTGCTTGACTATTTGGATGATCTAAAAAGAGTAAAAAGTAAATTGATTAGGATACAATAAGAGCTATTAATAATAAAAAAATTATATTTAATTAATTTATTATAAACTAAAATAAACTTCCAACTAGTAGAAGTTTATTTTAGCTTAAATATATTAATTATGATTATTATCCACAATTTGATACTTTTAACTACTTAAAACTTTATAATCTTTCAATGAATGATTTAGAAAATTATTTATCAAAGGTACATGCAACAATAAAGGCACAATTAAAAAAAGATCAAGAACAACAAAAGATCAACATTGATATCTATTACAAGAAACAACCTCAATGCCACATTGGCAACAAGATATAATTACTTCATTGTAATTTCTCTTGTGAAAATTTGGATTACTATAAATTTGGACCATTTCTTATTTTTACATATATCAAAAATTTCATATTAATTATACCTATGAAAATCCATGAAAATCCTTTTAGTATTACATATGTCTCTTTTTGAGCTATAAAAGACAATAGATGTATAAAAAAAAGTCAAATGTTTCACCTCCCTATAGAAATAGACAACAATAATATTAGTGAATATACTTAGGAGCCATCTAAGAATATTGCAAATGATATACAAAATTTTGATGTTTTTTTTATTAATAATATCTATCAAAACCAAGATGAAGAGTTAAGAAATTTTTTATTTTAAAGAAAAGAAGGTTCAATATTTTTTTTATTTTTTATCTTCAATCCTTGTTTATAATTGTGATGTTAAACAAATGAGGAATCATCAATCAACAAATTCAAGTTAAGATGTATCTTTTGTTGATTTATTAGTAAAACTATTGACGTTGTCACATCTTTTATAACAATGTAATATAAATAAAGATCCTCAAAAATGACAATATTTTTTGAATAGATGGCAAGATTCTATGTGTTTATTAAAACCTTAAAAGAGACTTTTAATGTTTAGTAATATTATTGAAAATAGAAATGATTCATAATGGTATTTGATATTCTTTATTTGAAGAAATTTATAAAGGCATCAACAATAATTAAATAATATGATATTTTTCTTACCTTAATATTAAACATTATTAATGGTTGAAGGAACTTATCAACTACTTTCAACGTGAACAAAGATCAAAGTATGTAGTAAATACAAAGTTGTCACATCTTAGACTTTTTCAACATGTAATCAATACTTTTGATAGAACTTATTTTTAGAAATAAGAGTAATTTTCTGAATATATATATATATATATATATATATATTAATATTAGTATTTACTTAGATAACAAGAATTAGATATGTATAGATAAATTTGATAATTTCTTATAGATAAGCATCTTTGAAGCTTCATAAATGTGAATTTAACTTCCTAAGTATTTTTAGGTGATTATTAGGTTGAAAACTTAGCTAACCAGTTTGCAATATTAACTACTTGTTTTATAAGTTGGCTACTTGTTGTACAAGTTAACTATATGGATGTTATGGATATCCATACTTACTCCAATAGTTACTTAGATAATATATATAAATAGAAAAAAAATTAAAGTAGATAAATTTAATAACATCTTATAGAATAGCTTCTTCTAAGCTTTATAGATATAACTTTGTATTTATACGTATCTATAGGTAATTGGTAAGTTCAAAACTTAGCTAACAAGTTAGCCATGTGTCATACATATTGGTGACTTGTGATACAAGTTTGACATATAATACACATATAGAAACCTTGTCATGCAACTTAAACACATATTTTATAAATAAAACACATATTGGGAGTCTTATAGAATGTCATCACGTAACTCTTAGTTAAATAATATACATAGATGCAAGGATCTTTTATGAATTCTTTTCTTTTTTCTAATCTAATTTTTATGAATTCTTTTCTTTTTTCTAATCTAATTTCAAGGATCTCTAATTTTCTTGTCTTTTGGCAATAAATATTTTATTTTTTTCTTGAATATATATATATTATCATTTTTTTTCAAAAAACATCTCACTTGTTTATTTACATTTTTTGAATTTCTTTCATTGATACATAGACAAGAGTATATTTATAATATCAAAGCTTTGTCTTATCTTCATGAAGAGTAGATTATTTTTTCTTAATAAGCCATAAACATATTAGAAATTACCGATTACCCTCTTCTAAATTGATATTGTACTTATCATTTTTTTTCTCAAGTCTTTTCTTATGTTTGTTTTTAGCAATATTAAATATATATATATATATTTTTTTTTATTATCATGACAAATCTTTTTGAAATAAAGAATGAAATCGTACAAATACTAGAGCATATAACAAAGTTAATACTTGTAATGCATTAATTCAATTTACTACTACAAGAAACAATAAGATTGATAGGAAGTAAAGATATAGAAATAATTGGAGTTTCTTCAATATATATATATATATATATATATATCAAATCGTATTACTTCTCTTGTGGTGGAACACCATTTAAGTATTAAAAAATCAAAAGTTGCTTTGCTTGAAAATATTAATTGTACAAGATCAATGTAGTGAGGATTCATGAATTAAGTACAATTAGTGATTGAAAAAAAATTTGTTCAATTACAATAGAGTCTATGTAGCTGAAATCTTATGCATCACTTAGTAAAGGTCTAATTCTCTCCTGAAAATCCTCTTGTTGATTTACAATAGATATTATTTTAGGACTTAAACATCACAAAGCCTTTACCATTTTAGATTGAAGAGCTTCATTTTTTTATTTTTTAGATAAAGAATTTGTTAAAAGATATAACATATCTTTAGTAATGAAAACTAAATCAATATTTAAAGAAGTTATAGATAGTAATTTTTAATCTTTTAAAAATCTTACTTATAAATTTCTTATATATATAAAAATAGTAGTTAATAGTCATAATAGCTTTGTGATATTTAATATCTTGAGATCTCTTTTTAATCCAATTATTTTAGATATTTTATATCTAAAAATACATAATCTTTAAATAAATTAGATTTCTTATAGTCTTAATTTTTTTCAAAGTATAACAAATAATTTTGTTAATCAACTATAAAATTATAAGTCTAGTGCAATTAAATCCTTACTTGTAGATATAAGTATACTTTTGCATGCTACAAAAAAATGACATCTTGTGTTATTTATACCACATATATTTTTAAAGATAAAAAAAACTTCAAGTAGTATTCAAAGCAAATATTAAGATTATTAAAAAAAAATTAGAAAAAAAGAAGTAAATATTCTTTTAAAGCATCATTCTTATGATTGTTCAATTAACCTTTAAGAAAAAGCTCAACTATCATTTAGACAAATCTATAGTTTATTACAAAATGAGTTAGACGAATTCAATGAGTACATTTATGAGATTATGGCCATAAAAATTTCATATACCATTCTAAATTTCTAATAAGAGTTCCTATCTTATTTATGATTAAAAAAATAGATTATTACTTATGTGTGTAGATTATCAAAAGTTCAACAAGATTACTATTGAAAATATGTATCTTCTATCTTTAAAATCTAAATTCTTTGGATAATTGAATTAAGTTAAGTTCTTTTTTAAAATAGATCCACAAGAAGCATATAATTTTATATGGATTAAAAAAAAAGATGAATAAAGGATAATATTTTAAATCAGGTATATACAATTCAAAAATAATGTCATGTTTTTTTGAGTTTCAAATATATTAGCTACTTTTTAATATCTATTGAATAATATCTTAAAAGATTTTTTTAATGATTTTATTATATGTTGTATAAATTTTATTTTAATCTACTTTAAGAGCACAAAAAAACATGAACTTTATATTTATTCTATGTTGCAAAAAATTAGAGATATAAGATTTTATGCCGAAATAAAAAAAGTATGTATTTAACACTAATCAAGTTGATTTCTTATGAGACATCTTTTCAATTGATGGCCTTATGATGGATTCTAAAAAAGTCCAAACTATCATAATTGGAAGGTCTCAAAAATAAAAAGATATGTCTAATATTTTTTAATATTTTCTAATTACTATCAAATCTTTATTAAGAATTTTTTTCAAGTTATAGCTTTAATTACATGTTTGACATGTACAATCAAATTTGAATTAAGTAAAGAATTTAGAGCATTATTTGAAGCTTTAAAGGTAATTTTTATTTTTGCACCAATTTTATATTG